AAACACAAGACGTCAGGATTGCCACGCTCAACATCGGTACCTGACCGGCCGCTCTGCTGAATTAACAGAAATGCTCAGAGAAAGAAGGATTGATATTTGTGCACTACAAGAAACCAAATGGACAGGCGCTAAGGCTAAAAGGATTGGTGGCTACAATATATACTACAACGGTCAACAATCCAAGACCAACGGTGTCGCCATCGCAGTGTCACAAAAACTGGAACACACTGTTAAGGATGTGCAGAGAATTTCTGATCGCATCATGTACATTACCATGATCTTCGGCACAAGAGCGACACATATCATCTGCGCATACGCCCCACAGGCAAATTTGCCCAATAGCGTGAAAGAAATGTTCTGGGAACAACTCGCTGACGTGACGTCCACACGCCCGCTCAATGAACACCTGTACATCATGGGAGACCTCAATGGTCATATTGGCGCAAGCAATGATCAATATGAGGATACACAAGGACGATTCGCCTATGGCACGAAAAACGAAGACGGTTCTCGTATTTTAGAATATGCCAAATCCCTAGATCTGGTCATTACCAACTCCTTTTTTCAAAAAAGAGAATCCCACCTGGTAACATACTACAGTGGAGATTTCAAAGCACAGATCGACTATATTCTGGCAAGAAAGAGCCACCGAAGTGATGTCCTAGATTGCAAAGTGATCCCATCGATAACTGTCAACAGTCAACACCGTCCCGTCGTCGCTTCCATCAAGATGCCTAGAAACTCGCCCGCCTTCAAACAACCGAGGTTCAACCGGAGGCTCCTAAGATGGAGCAAAATTGCCGATCTAAGACCTGCTGACAGAAACTACCTAACGATGAAGATCAGTCAAGCCAACCCTGATGACCTCGAAAAGGGCTGGAAACAGCTCACTCGACAAATCAGAGATATTGCGCGGACAATCGGCTACAAAAGGGAATTCAAGAGTGTACCGGATCGACCAGCATGGTTTTGGAACAATGACGTAGCAACAGCGATTCAGTCCAAGAAGAATGCGTACAAAGTCTGGCATCTTAACCCTACGACCGACCAGGGAAAGATACTGTGTAGCTAAACGAGAAACCAAGAAAACCATCGCAAAAGCTATCCAAGACAAGACGGATATAATGATCGCGAAGCTGAACACTAAGGAAGGTGAAAAGCTCATCTACCGCCTTGCTAAAGGACGCTCAAGAGCAACACAGGACCGTAAACACAACAACCTTCATAAAGGACAAAAATGGAGTACTCTTGCACGAATTCAGCAAAATCAAACAACGTTGGCAAGAACACTTCCAAGAAATCTGCAACGTCGAGTTCCCACATCCACCACTCCCGAAAGAGCCGCAAACTCATGGACCTATACCGTGCATCACCGAGCAAGAAGTCGATGAAGCTATGAAGAAGATGAAAAATGGGAAAGCCACCGGTCCTGATGACATTCCAGTAGAAGTCTGGAACCAACTTGGAGGGTGCCGTTACCTGACTCAGCTCTTCAATAAGTGTATTGAGAAGGGTGCGATCCCGACAGATTGGTCAAAAAGCGTCACTGTGCCCATTTACAAGAAGAAAGGTGACATCGCCAGCTGCTCCAACTATCGCCCAATTCGCCTGATGTGCCACACCCTGAAATTTTCGAACGAGTTTTGGACGCCAGGCTCAGAGAGATAGTTAACATCAGTCGGATGCAATGTGGTTTTCGACCAGAGCACGGAACCACCGATGCCATTCACGTGGCTCGACGCATGATGGAAAAAGCGAAGGAATGGAATAGACCACTGCACATGGCTTTTTTGGATTTGGAGAAAGCCTTCGACCGAATACCCCGTCAACTCATATGGGAGGCGCTCCGATACCAACAAATACCAGAAGCACTCGTTAAAGCTGTGCAGCTAACCTACCTTAATTCCTCAACTGCCATCCGAACACCTGTAGGTGATACCTCACAGTTCCCAGTCACAGTTGGAGTTCATCAAGGGTCGGCCCTCTCACCATTACTCTTCATTCTATGTATGGACTATGCGTCGAGGAAAATTCGGAAAGAGCCCCCGATGACGCTTGGGTACGCTGATGATATACTGCTAATGGATCGGTCGAAAATGAAATTAGAGAGACGTGTCAATCAGTGGATGAAACAGCTAAAGACCATACGATATTCAGTATGCTCTGAATTTGCACTAGACCTAAATCTCATTGCAGTCTATGATCAGTGAAATTTCGTTATCGATTGATTGTGGTAATCCTCATAGAATTAATTATGTTTATGAATGCTGTACATATCGCTTGCTTTGTTTCTGTGCTTTACATTGAACATTGTTTCTTCGACGGCGCCTTATCTGATTGCTCCCAAGCTCAGCCTAATGCATTGTAATGGACGGCGCGCATATAAGCCGCTTGTGAGTTGCAGTTGACGCTCATCTTTGTGCTTGGTTTTTTTTTGTTGTATAATGCTTTGTCACTGGTTAAGCGCAATAACTAAACAACATCCCACACATAACGTAGTCATCGTGCACTATAAGAGTTTCTTCTTTTATACATTCTCGGTGTGCACTATAAGATTATCGCGTCCAATCGACACGACAAGACCGCGGACGACGTCATAGGCAGGTTCATCTTAGAAATCGTTTACTAATAGTTCAGTTCTCTTCCTATTGGCCTAATTCGCTTCTACTTTCTTAAATGTTATATATCGTTGATTATTATTATAAAAAGGTAGAATAAAGTTTAACCCAACTTTGAGGTTGAATATCAACGGTGTAAGACCCTCGTGGCATATTGATCGATTGGCTCGATTATTGATCTACCGACGTGTATCATTGGATATTTGACTTCAAGGACCATGGACTCAGGCTCTCAACATCAACAAAACAGAATACTGTGCACAACGGCCACAGAGTCTTCGATCACAGTAGATGGAAGCATCCCATCCCAAGACCACCGAATTTCCGTATCTAGGGTCCACACTGGCCGCGGACGCCGATAGTAAAGCCGATACAATTGCTAGAATAAACGCTGCATGGAACAAATGGGGGACTGTCACTGGCGTTCTCTGTAACAATGCCGATCCGCCTGAAGTCTAAAATTTACACCTCAGTCGTGAGACCTAGTCGCCATCTATGGAGCGGAAACGAAGCAGATGACGGCTGACGAAACGAGAGCATATGGGTCTATGGAGATGAAGATGTTACGATGGAGTCTGGGACACACGCGATTCGACCACATTCGGAACGAAGACATTCGAGACAAGATCAAGGTCCAACCGATCGTCAATTCCCTTGCCTCCTCTCGCCTACGCTGGTATGGTCACATTTTGCGAAGGCCTCCAGACACCGTGTCCAGATCAGCCGATAGTATTAACTTCACACGTACACGCCCGAGAGGCAGACCCAAATATACGATGGATGGACAACGTGAAAGATCGACATGAATGCTGCTGACCTGTCTGCAGACGATGCATGGAATCGAGATCGCTGGAAAGCCTTGGTGGAAAAGAGCGTACCCGACGAAAGTTGGACAACAACGCTAAGAAGAAGAAGAAGAAGAAGAATTTTGGAATTTCTCTCACGTCACAGAATTCAAGATGTAATGAATTTCGACGTCCACATTTTCAGAAGATATTTGTACTCATGCGCGTGGCACTTGCACGGTACTGGCTCTGTCTTGCAGCAAGACAACAACTCTAACCATCTTTTGCCATGCGGCAGTGATTCCTCATGGCACGAATTCGAAGGTGTTTCCAAGTTACTTGTGCGACAATGTGTTCAGAACAAAAAAATCTAAGAGTAGAGAAGAGACACTCATCCAATTCGAAGAATAATGCTCATTCGCAATTCCATGTTTAGGCTCTCCTAAGGTATCAGCTGAATTTCCTACAAAATATTGCACCTGGTTTAGTGGTTTGCAAATTTCCTCATCTTCGAGAAATTATCAAACAAATCCTGCAGTGTTCACTCTTCATTGCAATCAACACAGGTATGTTCGTTTAGCGAAAAATACGTCCTACGTCTAGCATGCTAAAATTTGGACCTAAAATTTTAGCATGCGACCCACGAGTTCCAGTTCCCCGGAAACTTTAAATCGCACACACTTTTGCTCACTTGTACGATTTTTTTTGTCAGTACTATTTTTTAAAACTCACACCGCCACTGGTTCCTTAAATTTACCAACTTGCTGTATCTGGTACATCAAATCTCCCCCGTTTATGAACTCCATAACAAAATAAAGACGATCCTGTAACAAAATTGATGAGCAATTGCTTGGTTATTTGAATAGAAGGACGATTTTAACATACCATCGTTTGGAAGGAGCTGTGAAGCGAAACTAGGAATGGTGGCTTTTCGGGCAATGCTAAAACTCGTCTTTCTGTCATAGTGCATTCCACATCGTCGTCCTGTAGAATGACATCCTTTTTCAGCACTTTGATGGCGAAGAGTTCTTTGGTAACCCTATGCTCGGCCAGCAGTACCTGCAATCCAAAGTACTTAATTACCTCAGTCCGTTAGATTCATAAGAGATAGCACCACAACGACCTTTTCTAAAAGCATTGTGTGTTTCGTTCCTAAAACGTGAGTCATTTCAAGGCAATGTTATGTCCTACACTGCACTACTTATAAGGATTATGCATGAATTAGGTTGCTATGAGTGCTACGGTGACAAGTATAATGGTACAGACTACATCTTATATACGTGAAGCAAACTTGGTTGTTTCCGCCCCACTCAGCATCCGCAAACATGTACTATGTATTTTTTGGAAAGAATCACTGAGTTCTGAGCATGTATTATTTGATGATCTGAAGTACGAAGAAAGGTAAGTAATCGTTCGCTGGCCACTTCATGATTTTTCCAAAAAAAAACAATCCTTTCTAAATCCCTTTTCCTTTCTTTCTCTCAGGATACAAGAGGCCGCAATTTGAATATTTGGAAATCCCAATTTTTGATGGAACAAACAGAAGGCGAAATTTCCAAGCTGGTTAACCTAGTAGAACCTATCTTGATATATCTGACGGTGGTAGAACCAGATGTTATAATAGATTTGTGTGACAAGTTTGTAAGTACATAATTGGTGCAGTGGCAAGTGGCGCTGCTCACCACGCGCGCCTTCCTGAGTCTTGCTTAGTGTGGGTCAAGCAAGCCTTCTGGGGTCAGTTAATTGGTACCAGACTTGTCTGGGAGGATAAAAACACTGACTTGTACATCGGCTGGCCCCCGCAAGTCATTGTATAGGCCACATCGCATTCAAACGCCACTGCGAATGTACAAATGGAAGTAGAATGCATCCCGAGAGGGATTGAACGCGAGTCCTTTACCTTTACCTATCATCAAGTTTGACGAATACGCCAAGCTAATCACCACGTGCGATGAGCCAGCATTTTTTGCTGAATTTGCTTTGCAATGTGTTGACAAAGTAGACTTGGTGTGTTTCCCACGTGCAGACCCGAAAGTCCCACCAAATTGCTTGTCTTTGACGAATGGTTGAGTTCCTTGGCAACAGCTCTCGTGCAAGCTATGGGATCAAATGGGTGTAGAGCGCTCATTGCGGAGGTGGAGGTGAGGAGTAGTTTGGAAAAGGAAAAGAAAGCAAAAGACCCCGATTACGCCCCCAAAAGCCTCCATCTTCTCCAGTTGCATTCCGTCTTGGAATGAGAAAGGAGCGTGTTTGGACAAGTTTCACAAACGGCTACCTCCAATTGCTACAATGCCAACAACATCAAGCTGCAAGGCGCAACTATGGCCGTGCTCCCTCGCAGCGCCAGCGTGGCAGTAGACAGCGGAAGCCGGAGCTTGCAGACGAAGGTGGGGATTGCAGGTCGAGCGAGCTCTGGCGCTTTGTCACGCACCTTCAAGCCAGAAAAAGAATTAGAACATCTCTATTGTTTTTGCTTGAGATGTCATACACACGTGGACCTTGTCTACGTCAATTGATGAAGATAAAGATTGTCCGCCTGTCTACCGCAATCGTGGATGGAACACGTAAAAGTGCCACTCCTAAACCGTGCCTTTGAATGAAACCTTTGCAGGCCTACTAACATTGGAATTTTCATTCTCAGGTTGCAAATCTGATTCACTATACCACAATTTTTCGGCGCTATTCGGAACTCGTCATGCAAATAATAAGAACCGTCCATTTCTGCATTGAATTTTCACTTCGAACTAGAGAAACTTATTTTTTGAGCTTCAGAACCTTTAAAAGATTTTAATATCGCACTGAATCTGAACGTACCTTTCCAAAGGACCCTTTCCCAAGCACATTGAGGAATGTGAAATCAGATGCTTTTATTATATTAGCTTGCGCTGCAGTGCCGGCCTTGGTTGGACCTGAATCACGAGCAGGTCGTTGAGCTGATTCCTTATTCACCTGAATAAAGGATATTCGTTCTCTACCAGATAGACATGCTTATTTCAAAGGAATCTTCCACGGAAAAAGCTCCGCCCTCATTACCACAGAAAACGATACCTTAAAGGAATCTTCCACGGAAAGAGTGATCATTTTGTCTTGTGTGTAGGATTAGTATTATCGAAACTAACGCTTATGTTCCGTTCTTTTTGCTATGCTCATGAGGCTAGGGGCCTAAGGTATCGTTTTTCTGTGGTAATGGAGGCGGAGCTTTTTCCGTGGAAGATTCCTTTAAGCACATATGATGGCTGGGTGATGGCTTGGAATTTAATAATAAGCTGTCCCTAAGGCCGATGTCAGACTTCTCGAATCCAGCGATTCGCTAGCGAATTGCTGGATTTGCGAAGTCTGAAATTTGCCTAACTTTTGTAAAATCGACGTTCTGCGATGGATTTGTCCGTTGCAAACACCACTACTTTGTCGTAACATCTGCAACAATGGGCCAAAAATGTTCCTAAGACTTTTGGATAGCCCTTCTCGGAGCAAATCTGATGTTCTGGAAAACTCCTGGTTCTCATCATTGGAATCTTCATTGAGGAATTCAGAGTTCGATTCCCCGTGGCACGAACAGCGAGCAACACGACAGCCTCCTTACCCTCCAGTCCAACTGAGAAAGCACAAAGGGTGTTTTGAAGCCACAATTTTGAGCAAGTTCGAGAAGAGCATGACCTCGTGATTGTTGTAAACCGGCTTCTTTCGAAATTCAGCAAGTTCAACAGAGAACGGAAGCTTCATGATCACTCTGTAGCGCTTTGACGCCTCGCCCCAGTCACGGTTGAGCTCGTGGCGCAGTAATTAGATCTACAGGGTGGGGTTTTTGAAACCCGCTCGCGGTTGTCAGAGAAAGTTGCTTTATGACCGGACCTAACGTCAAAATTCAAAGATCGTGAAACTTCAATTTCCAGTTTGGGATTCCTTGAGCCCACGGAACCAGGTATTGAAATGATCCGAAATTATACTCTTCGCGAATATGTTGGAAATTGTGGCTCTGGAGCAATTCCTCTGAAGCTCTCACTCAGACCGGTTTATGTCGCTTTACCCCCCCCCCCCCACAAGTATTCCCATTGGTCAGCGGAGTCCCAAACTCCGAATACCTCAATAATGAATCGAAAACAGGAAGAAAATGTGGAATGGGGTGGCTTGCCAAGCCAGCCTTGTATTTCTATTCGTACTAAGACCATATAGCAGCCTGAAATTACTGCATAGCCCTCCTAAGCATTTGATGATCGCAGCTCTTATGATATCTCTCCTGGTAAACAAAATACAACCCCACTCCCGTCGCAAATTCCGTGAGATACGCTCGACCCTGACCACACCTCCCATTCTTTACAGAAAGCATTGACTTGCTTTCGAAGCGTCAGAGCGGAATCGTTGAGCATAACGTCAACAATCATGGAAATGGTGAGTGTCCGAAAATGCAGTCATATTGACGATCTTTATGAAAATTGTGTCGAAATTTTCACACGTACAGTAGTGGCCAGAAATTTATGAACAAACGGTTTTTCATGATTTCTCTTTTGAAAGTCACTGGAACGTCTCCAAATTTGCAACAATTATTAACTACGTGTTTTATGATCCACACAGAAAATTTCAACCTTCAGCTCAAATTTGGGTTTAGAAAATTTTAGATTTTTCGAAATTAATGAAGGCAGGTGAAAGATCACTTGATCCGTTTATTTGATTTAAATAATGTATAACCCAACAGAACAGTCAAGTAAACAGTCACTAACATTAAGCAAGTCTAGCACATTGCCCAGAACTCTCTAAAGTATCCCTACTATATATAATGCGCTAATGTCTGTCTGTCTGTCTGTCACGAAATTCCGTATTAAGCGAACAACAACCTACAGGGTCCAGGTCAAGTTTGGGATGGGTGTACCATATCCTCTAGAAGTAAAAAACACACATCAGCCAAGCGGAGCCCCGCCCACAGTGGGCGTGGCGTGCATCGGTTGATTTCAAATTCAGTCACAAAACAGCCTCGAGACCGGGACAAAAGTGGGCATAGGTGTGGTTGGTAAGCCAGATCGAACTGAGGAGACCCACCCTCGGTGGGCGGGGCGTTCTCTAAAAAAGCGGTGCTCAGTGAAAATATTCATAACTCGGTTAAGAGGAAGCCTACAGACCAGAAACGAAATTAGTGCAGGGGAGCAATCCCTACTATATATAATGCGCTAAGTCTGTCTGTCTGTCTGTCTGTCACGAAATTCCGTATTAAGCGGACAACAACCTACTGGGTCCAGGTCATGTTTGGGATGGGTGTACCATATCTCGAGAAGTAAAAAACATACATTACCTAAGCGGAGCCCCGCCCACAGTGGGCGTGGCGTGCGTCGAAATGAGTGGTACTGAGGACCATGATTTCAAATTCAGTCACAAAACAGCCTCGAGACCGGGACAAAAGTGGCATAGGTGTGCGTTGGTAAGCCAGATTGAACTGAGGAGACCCACCCTCGGTGGGCGGGGCGTTCTCTAAAAAGCGGTGCTCAGTGAAAATATTCATAACTCGGTTAAGAAGAAGCCTACAGACCAGAAACGAAATTAGTGCAGGGAGCAATATCCCTACTATATATAATGCGCTAAGTCTGTCTGTCTGTCTGTCTGTCTGTCACGAAATTCCGTATTAAGCGGACAACAACCTACTGGGTCCAGGTCATGTTTGGGATGGGTGTACCATATCTCGAGAAGTAAAAAACATACATTACCTAAGCGGAGCCCCGCCCACAGTGGGCGTGGCGTGCGTCGAAATGAGTGGTACTGAGGACCATGATTTCAAATTCAGTCACAAAACAGACTCGAGACCGGGACAAAAGTGGGTATAGGTGTGCGTTGGTAAGCCAGATCGAACTGAGGAGACCCACCCTCGGTGGGCGGGGCGTTCTCTAAAAAAGCGGTGCTCAGTGAAAATATTCATAACTCGGTTAAGAAGAAGCCTACAGACCAGAAACGATCGTATATGTATATATATGCATATGTATAATCCCTACTATATATAATGCGCTAAGTCTGTCTGTCTGTCTGTCTGTCACGAAATTCCGTATTAAGCGGACAACAACCTACTGGGTCCAGGTCATGTTTGGGATGGGTGTACCATATCTCGAGAAGTAAAAAACATACATTACCTAAGCGGAGCCCCGCCCACAGTGGGCGTGGCGTGCGTCGAAATGAGTGGTACTGAGGACCATGATTTCAAATTCAGTCACAAAACAGCCTCGAGACCGGGACAAAAGTGGGTATAGGTGTGCGTTGGTAAGCCAGATCGAACTGAGGAGACCCACCCTCGGTGGGCGGGGCGTTCTCTAAAAAAGCGGTGCTCAGTGAAAATATTCATAACTCGGTTAAGAAGAAGCCTACAGACCAGAAACGAAATTAGTGCAGGGGAGCAATCCCTACTATATATAATGCGCTAAGTCTGTCTGTCTGTCTGTCTGTCTGTCACGAAATTCCGTATTAAGCGGACAACAACCTACTGGGTCCAGGTCATGTTTGGGATGGGTGTACCATATCTCGAGAAGTAAAAAACATACATTACCTAAGCGGAGCCCCGCCCACAGTGGGCGTGGCGTGCGTCGAAATGAGTGGTACTGAGGACCATGATTTCAAATTCAGTCACAAAACAGCCTCGAGACCGGGACAAAAGTGGGCATAGGTGTGGGTTGGTAAGCCAGATTCGAACTGAGGAGACCCACCCTCGGTGGGCGGGGCGTTCTCTAAAAAAGCGGTGCTCAGTGAAAATATTCATAACTCGGTTAAGAAGAAGCCTACAGACCAGAAACGAAATTAGTGCAGGGGAGCAATCCCTACTATATATAATGCGCTAAGTCTGTCTGTCTGTCTGTCTGTCACGAAATTCCGTATTAAGCGGACAACAACCTACTGGGTCCAGGTCAAGTTTGGGATGGGTGTACCATATCTCGAGAAGTAAAAAACATACATTACCTAAGCGGAGCCCCGCCCACAGTGGGCGTGGCGTGCGTCGAAATGAGTGGTACTGAGGACCATGATTTCAAATTCAGTCACAAAACAGCCTCGAGACCGGGACAAAAGTGGTATAGGTGTGGGTTGGTAAGCCAGATCGAACTGAGGAGACCCACCCTCGGTGGGCGGGGCGTTCTCTAGAAAATGGGTGCTCAGTGAAAATATTCATAACTCGGTTAAGAGGAAGCCTACAGACCAGGAACGAAATTAGTGCAAGGAACAATCCCTACTATATATAATGCGCTAAGTCTGTCTGTCTGTCTGTCTGTCTGTCACGAAATTCCGTATTAAGCGGACAACAACCTACTGGGTCCAGGTCAAGTTTGGGATGGGTGTACCATATCTCGAGAAGTAAAAAACATACATTACCTAAGCGGAGCCCCGCCCACAGTGGGCGTGGCGTGCGTCGAAATGAGTGGTACTGAGGACCATGATTTCAAATTCAGTCACAAAACAGCCTCGAGACCGGGACAAAAGTGGGTATAGGTGTGCGTTGGTAAGCCAGATTGAACTGAGGAGACCCACCCTCGGTGGGCGGGGCGTTCTCTAAAAAAGCGGTGCTCAGTGAAAATATTCATAACTCGGTTAAGAAGAAGCCTACAGACCAGAAACGAAATTAGTGCAGGGGAGCAATGCCTAAGGTATTTCCAGCACGCATGATGTGAACGGAGGCCCGCCCACAATGGGCGGAGCGTGTCGTGAAGCGGACAGCGTTTTCTACAAGAGCTCATAAATCGGCTCCGAGATGACTTAGAGACCGGAAAACAGCGGATAGAGGTCAGGAGGGGAGGGGAAGCTAAATGTCAGGGAATGGGCGTGGCTTGCATCAAAGTGGGCGGAGTTTGCAATTAGGCTTATAACTCGGTTCCTAGGAGTCCCGCAGTCCGGGAAAAAAGCGTATAAGGGTTGGCAGAGGGAAAGGGGTCAACCGCTGTTGGCGGGCGGAGCATGCGCCAAAGTGGGCGGGGTTTGCCACGGTACTTCATAACTCGGTTCCAATAGTTCTGGAGATGGGAAAAGTAGAAAAAGGTTGGGGAAGAGATGATAGTCAACTGATATCAGTGGGCGACCCACGCACCAAAGTGGGCGGGGTTTGCCACAAAGATACGTAGCTCGATTTCGTCCCCTACAAGACCTCATAATTCTGCTCCGAGACGACTTAGAGACCTGAAAAATGTGTATAGGAGTGAGAGGAGGAGTAGAGGTTGAATGTGACGCTGGGCGTGGCACATCCCGAAGTGGGCGGAGTTTGCCACCACTCTCATAACTCGGTTCCTAGGAAGCCCCAGCGCCCGGGAAAAAAGTGGATAAGGGTTGCCGTAGGGAAGGGGTTAAATGCCATTGGTGGGCTAAGCATGCACCAAAGTGGGCGGGGTTCTGCCTCAGAAATTCGTGACTCATAACGCCATTTACAAGACCTCATAATTCGGCTCCGAGATGACTTAGAGACCTGAAAAAAATACGCCAGAGGTGAAAGTAGGAGTAGAGGTTGAATGTGAACGCTGGGCGTGGCACACCCGGATGTGGGCGGAGTTTGCCACCGCTCTCATAACTCGGTTCCTAGAAGTTCCGGCGACCGGGGAAAATGTGCATAAGTATTGAGGTATGGAGTAGGGTTGAATGCCATTGTTGGGCTAAGCATGCACCAAAGTGGGCGGGGTCTGCCTCAGAAATTCGTGACTCATAACGCCATTTACAAGACCTCATAATTCGGCTCCGAGATGACTTAGAGACCTGAAAAAAATACGCCAGAGGTGAAAGTAGGAGTAGAGGTTGAATGTGAACGCTGGGCGTGGCACACCCGGATGTGGGCGGAGTTTGCGGCGTAAGTAAGATGTACCGAGCAGAAAGCTAAAATCAAGACAAAAATACTGATGGGCCCGATTTTACCGCTGCAGCCCCGTCTCATGCACGCGAATGCGTGCGCAGCCAAACTGGTTATATACATAAAATGGATTTGAATGCGGGTCAACTAATGAACTCACTCTTTAGTGGGGTCTCTCTCTGTAGTCCCGTCTTTTCGTGGCTCTTTCATTGACATACGAATTTGTAGGTCCTCCCCTAGTGGTTCTGTAATGTTTGGCTCAAGAGTCTGGCCTGGCTGGTCTTTTAAAAGCACCCCATGCTGTCGAAACCACTCCTGCATGTGAGAGGCCCGATGCTTTGAGTCGCTGCTCTGCTGACAGACAAAGCCAGGTCGTGTGGCAGCCATGTCTACGGATACATAACATCTTCTAGAATCTAAGTCTATACTACGTATTCCTTAGTTCTCAAAGTCTAAGAAGAGCGCTCGCTGTGAAGTGGGTGGGAGTAGAATGTGATTGACTAAGCCTGAAACGAAGGTTGATACAGGTTTCTAAGGTCATCTGGAATGACAAAAACATATTACTGATGCATGACA